AAAAAAATAATTCAAGTTATATCATTTTTACTGAAAATAGCAGTTAATTTACGTATCGGATCGTTAACGTGAAAATATAAACATTAGACTGTTGACTGTTCCTGTTATACGTTTTTTAAGCTTTTGAAGAAGAAACTACATGGAATTTTAAAAATTATATCTGCTTTTATAATAAAGGAATGGTAATTCTAAGATTGTTTAAGCTTATTAACTAAAAATTATTGCCTACTTAATAAAAAAATTATTATTGTCCTCGATAATCTATTAATGATTAATAAAATCTTTACTCTCTTTCCTTATAAGACTGTATGTACACAAATTGGAGCCGTTCCTGAACAATCGGGCGTGAGGCCTGTTAAAATATCGCCCAGCGTAAATTATTAAACAACACACCTTGAAGCGTTGGCCGCTAGAGCTAGAGCAGCACTTGCCGGGGTATCGTTTCGTGACTCACGCTGGGCGATATTTTTTGTACAAAATCCCGTCCTTAAATTAAATGTTAGCCTGGATTTGAATGAGAAACAAATTTTGTAGTCACGATTTAATATAATAAGTATATATACAGGATAAAAGGATCCTTCCACTTTTTGACATTGCCCACTGTTTCAAAGCTTAAACCACCTGCAGCCAGAGGCTGTTGTAGTCATTAGATCTCAAAACATGTACCATAGAAAGATGNTTTCTAAAATTCCTATATTATCATGTTTATTTGCTTTGTTTATGTATCATTATAAAGTAAACCTTTAGTTACATATAGCTATAAATATTTTTCCTAAAATCTTAACTAAACATGAATTAAGATAAAATATTTTTACTTACTTTCTTACACTTTACCCTTAATAATTCACCAAATATCAGTTACACATGACAAATACATACTAAGAATTTCGCCATATTGTTTTGATGTCTTGGAGAAAATAAACTTTACTGTGAAAAACTAGATGGCACTAGGTATCATACACTGCTATGAAATAATTCAAATAATACACCAAAAGCTTATGCATTTGGTTGTGTCAACTATTGGGTCGCCGTCAATTACCGATGCCTTTACCTTACATATCAAATGTTAATGACTGAAATTGTAATAGCCATGATTTATTAGTAAACAATTAACAATACAAAACACAGATTTAACAATTAAATTAAATGTTAGCCAGGACTTGAATGAGAAACAAATTTTGTAGTCATGTTTTAATATAATAAGTATATATACAGGTTAAGGATCCTTCCAATTTTTGACATTGCCCACTGTTTCAGAGCTTAAACCACCTGCAGCTGTTGTAGTCATTAGATCTCAAAACATGTACCATAGAAAGATGCAAATTGTTAGATAAATATTATAATAGTATAATAAAAGTAATCAATTCAANAAACCACCTGCAGCCAGAGGCTGTTGTAGTCATTAGATCTCAAAACATGTACCATAGAAAGATGTAAATTGTTAGATAAATATTATAATAGTATAATAAAAGTAATCAATTCAATAATCTATAGTGATAAAGTTATAAAATCATGCATAATTTATCAGATCTGGGAGTGTTGACTAAGATGCTCCCTGGATCTGGATGGCTTATATAAATGTCAAATTTGTGGTCAAATTCTGTCACTTCTGCGTTGACTTATCTGACAGCATAGCTTGTAAAACTAATGATATAATACCCACTAAACAAAGTTGCTTTTTTTTGGGAGGGTCAGTATCATAAACATGTGAATATCTCATCCTCAAAGCTTATTGTAATTTAATCTGCCTATGACATACAAACATCCATGGCACAGATTTACTACAGTGAGATTCGAAGCCACAGGCGGAACAGACTGATACAGTATGACTCTAACCCAGTCATGTCTCAGACATCTCAGCTACTGCAGTTCTTTGTTGTTACTTGTTAGGTTTATTGATTGTTTATAAAAGGCATAGTTTATATATTGTGGTTGTTTATTAAAAGTATACCACAAATCAAGTTAAACATTTCTGAGATGTATTAATTTTCAAATGAAGAATATGCCATTATTTTTGTGAATGGACATCAACTGCAGTGCCTGATTTACAGTGGTGGGGGCCTGTAGGCTGAAAATTGGTGGGGCCTATTCTAGAGGAAAAATATCCTTTTTGGTAGCCCCCCCAAAAAAAATTCTTATTGTGTACGCTTTCTACCTCTAGTGGCAGCTCTTAGAATCATATCTTAATAGATAGAATTCAAATTTTAAGAATAAAAAAATAATATTTTTCAGGATAATTTTTCTTTGATGTTCACGATGAGGTCTTAAAAAAAATCTTAAAAAAAATGAATTTTCATAAATAATTTTTTTTTGTTAACATGGTGGGGGCCCCCCTAATTGGTGGGGGCCTGTAGGCTGCAGCCTACATCAGCCTATAGGTAAATCAGGCACTGATCAACTGGCACATAATGTGATGTTCAGTAGATCATTTAGAAGACTTCATATGACGGGAAACACTGCTCCTCAAAAATCTTTTCGGTCACATGAGGCAAATCCATATACCTAATGAAGACAATGTTACATATGCGGTAAGTAATAGAATTTCTGGATTAGCACAGGACAGATAGTTACAAATTTAAAATTATCACAAACGTGATAATATCTAATATCTGATCTTTGGAACACTACTTTTACGGACATGGGATTCATAATTTTATTCATTTAATTTTAGTGTAAATGCTTGCAGTAGTTTGTTTAATAATGTCACTGTTCTTAAATATGTTTAATGGAACTGTTAACTCAGATATGTACCATACCTTCTAAACACGTTGTGACGATCATCAGCGAGTAAGGCAAAGGGCTCTTTTGCTAAGTACTTACCTTTCATGAAAGCAGTTATGCCTAACCCTCTATTGGTCAGTTACCATATACCAGGTATGTAAATATGAAACTGGAATTTTTGTATAGAAAACACGTTTATTATATGAAAATGATGCAAAATATTTTATTCAAAGTATTACTCATTGTTAGCTATACATTTTTCCCACCTGTCTGGCAATTTGTGGATGTCATGCCAAAAAAACTGTTGTTCTTTTGAGGCAAACCAGTCATCCAGCCATTTTCATACATTTTCGTAAGAAGTGAAGCGATGCTCAGTAAGTGCATGTCCCATTGATGCAACTAAGTATTTCTCAACTAAATGCTTCAATTGTTTCCTTGCCTTGTTTTGCTGTGTCTGATGGTGCATTAATCATGAAGCAAAATCACTTTGTGTTGCCTTTTTTGATATTCTGGTTATATTTCATGCAAAGCTTGATTCAAATCAATCATTTGTTTATTAACAGTTTCAATAGGTTTTAGCATAATAGATCATACCCTTCTGATCCCACCCAACATAGAACATTGTCATTCTAAGAAGCGTAAGTTATATGCTAAAATGTTAAAAGAAATATCAGATTTACCTACCTTTTTTAAGCATTCCTTGATAACACCTCATATATGTTAACTGACCAAATCGACCAGCTTCTAGTTTGAAAGCTAAAGCCACAAAACACTTCTCATCACTCCTTGTCGAATCTAGAAGAATTTTTATGGGTTCTTCGTCATTTTTCTCTATTAGACCATAGTTGGGAACCTCTCCTGGACTAGGCAGATAGTCCAGAACAGCATCTAATAGTGGTTGTACACCTTTATTTTTTAAGGCAGTTCCAACCAAAACTGGTGTAAAAGTACGTTTTAAACAAGTTCTACGAATAGCAGCTTTGATGTCACTTTCTGATATCGATTTTTCTTCTAAGTATAATTCACCTAAATTATCATCACAATTTGATAAATGTTCTATCAGTTCATGTCGCCTTTCTTCACTTTCTGCTATCATATCTTTAGGAATGTCATCATATCGAATCTGTTCTCCAAAATCACCATCAAAGTAAATAGCTTTGCATGTTATTAAATCGATGATACCTCTGCAATTACTTTCAGTTCCAATTGGTAACTGGATAAAAGCAGCATTGTGATTCATTTTAGACCTATTAAGTATATTAAGAAATTTAGTCTTCTATGAACAACATATTTTAAATAGTGAAAATAACTTACCTCATTTGTGAAAGAACTCTTTTAGGATTGGCTCCTAATCTGTCCAACTTATTAATGAAAGCGAGACAAGGTACATTGTACCTTTTCATCTGCCTATTAACTGTAAGAGATTGACTTTGAACTCCTCCAACAGCACAAAGCACTAGAATTGCTCCATCTAGCACTCGCAATGCTCTCTCTACTTCTACAGTGAAGTCGACATGTCCAGGAGTATCTATAATATTAATATTATGATCTTTCCATAGAGTATAGGTAGCTGCTGATTGTATAGTAATTCCTCTTTGCCTTTCCAATTCCATGGAATCCATTGTAGCCCCAACATTGTCTTTTCCCCTGACTTCGTGCATTGCTTCTATCCGTCCAGTGTAATACAGGATTCGTTCTGTTAAAGTTGTTTTACCTGAATCTATATGAGCTGAAATTCCTATGTTTCTAATTTTGGTAAGTTCTTTATGTTCGGCGTATTTCGCATAGCTGGACATGTAGTGTACTGGTCCATTATACTAGAAAATAAAATGAGGTTGGAGTTATTTATACGGTTGTCTAATTAAAATACACTTACATGCCGTGACCTTTTGATAAAATTCGATACACTAACATTTTTTACATTACCTAATACTTTATAAATAGTCATTATGGAATGAACTTAATTTATGGTTCCTTAATTTCTAGAATGTGAATGTTAGGTGTTAGGTTAGATTATAAATTGACGTTTACCATAACCATAGATTAAATACATGAGGATACATAAACCTTATAAAAACTACTGGACTCGCCCAACTGTCATTGTGCCTATTCGCGAATGCAGCTAAGAGCTCGCCCTCTGGCGGTGATAAGTGATACTATCGAAACAAGGTAAACATTTCTTCTGTGTGTGACATTTCGTTTTGTATTTTATTTAAAACTGTGTTTAGTGTTCGTTTTTTGTACATTGTTATTTTAAGAAAATAGTGTGATGAAAACTTCAGCAATTATGGATAGAAAGAAGAAACTGTCAAACTATTATTGTTCAGTTCAAGGTTGCTCTTCATGGTCCAAGAAAAATCCAGAATTAAGTTTTCATTAAACCATTGAAGAAATTTTCAAAATATTATTGCCGATAGATAATACTCCCTGAACTTCATGAGGGTTGTTAGTAAATAAGGGCACTAGTTTGCAGACACAATATAAATTTCTAAATTTAAATTAACTTTACCCAATTTTCCCATATAGTACCACATGATCAGCGTTAAAAACTGCCTCTCCTTCTGATATACAACGAGAGTTTTCGTTGGCATATATGTAAATAGGAAATGTATTCCACAACGGATAAGTTCATAGTTATAACCTAATAAAATGTACATTAAATTGTAATGCTAGAGACAAATAAAGTAGACATAAATACTTGCCTTAAAATTTANTTTTTTTTTTCGATATTTGAAAAAAATCGATGTTTTACTCCGATATATCGAGAATCGATAATAAATTATTTGAAAATCGATATAACATAACATCGATGTTTTTCGTTAAATCTGCCCATCCCTAGTTAGGTTAGGTGTTAGGTTAGATTATAAATTGACGTATACCATAACCATAGATTAAATACATGAGGATACGTAATCCTTATAAACTACTGGACTCGCCCATCGCGAATGCAGCTAAGAGCTCGCCCTCTGGCGGTGACAAGCGAAACTAGCGAAACAAGGTAAAAATTTCTTCTGTGTCTGACATTTCGTTTTGTATTTTATTTAAAACTGTTTAGTGTTCGTTTTTTGAACACTGTTATTTTAAGAAAATAGGTGAGGAAAATTTCAGCAATTATGGATAGAAACAAGAAACTGTCAAACTATTATTGTTCAGTTCAAGGTTGCGCTTCATGGTCCAAGAAAAATCCAGAATTAAGTTTTCATCAAACCATTGAAGAAATTTTCAAAATATTATTGCCGATAGATAATACTCCCTGAATTTCATGAGGGTTGTTAGTAAGTAAGGGCACTATAGTTTGCAGACATAATATAAATTTCTAAATTTAAATTAACTTTGCCCAATTTTCCCATATAGTACCACATGATCAGCGTTAAAAACTGCCTTTCCTTCCGATATACAACGAGAGTTTTCATTGGCATATATATGTAAATAGGAAATGTATTCCACAACGGATTGGTTCATAGTTATAAACTAATAAAATGTACATTAAATTGTAATGCTAGAAACAAATAAAGTAGACATAAATATACTTGCCTTAAAATTTATTTATGAAATATTTGAAACCTATAAAATAACACAAGAGTCAAATAACCGCAGTTTGATAACAAAATTACTAATAATAATGGCAAATAAGAAAAATGTTGTTCAAATGAATGTGTAAACACGAACGGCAATGTCAAAATTACCTTGTCTCGGAGCTTACTGCTTTCGCCGCTTGGTGCGCTTGCATCTTAAAAATTATCGCGGATATAAACGGTAATCGCACAGATGTGTGCGAGAGAGATAGAGCTAGTGCAGGCTTAAGTTTCGTTCACAGAATTTCAACTGTAGCGCGCTACATTTAATTTAACCAATCAGTTAGCTATACTCGATTCCTTACCCCTTTCTTCTATTGGGTCATATTCCTGTTTGAAATTAAAATGATTTTAACTACATTTATGTGTGGTGGCTACACTAAAGTATGGTTAAGATAAACATATTGAAAAATTATTGATTTTAGTTTTTAATTCTATTCAGATGAATGGCAGAAAAGACAGCCATTTCTGATCGAATTTCTGATCTACAAAGACTATTAAAATAATATAGAGACTAGAAGACAAAAAAGTTCCAATAAAAAATAGATATATTAATTCTATGTGTAAAACTACATTTATGATATTAAGAATTCTTTATCTTAACTCAAACTGAATTAAATTCGATTTCTGCTCTTTTAACAATACCAGTAATTTTAATTATTATTAATGAATAAGATACTATTTATTTATATGGAATTTCTGTACAAATTGGAGATATTAACAGGGGAATGTAATAATTAGAAATTTGAAGTCAAAGATATTTTATTATACATTTTTAAAAAATATTCATGGTTACAATTCATTCTCGAGCGAGCAGACAATAATTTTGTATTTTCCTCATATCATAAATTCGATCAGTTAAAATTACTCAAGCAATTGTTTTAAATACTTATATTATCTTACTTTGCACAACTATATCGATGCTTTCTTTTTCAACATATTATTTAAAGAGAAGTTTTGCTGAAGTATATTATAAGCATAATTCAGTTGAAACTGTTTATTTATATGTATTTAGTAATTTGAAGAGTGACACATTTAAGGGGGCAAAAGTTTCACGTTAAAATGAGATTTTATTTTGAGGATGGGGGACATAATATAATCAAATATGTTATCATCAGAGACAACTCCACTTGGTCATTACTTTCAGAAAGATGCAAAAAGTATAAACAGATTGGTACCATCACAACCTTTTTTCTACCTATTGGCGCGTTATCGCTCCCCTCGTCACGCCGCAAAAATCGCTGGGAAGACAGTTGTGGCCTTTCAGTAGCCTCCTTCAGCACTTGGAGGGAGTCAGTCGCAGCTGCTCCATCATCCGGGAAGACGGCGATCGAACATGCAAACGGCGGTCCTCGTTCTACCTCCTGGTCCGAAGAATCCGAAGAAGGGCTGGGAGAAGACGACGTACGAGATAAATATTTATCCACCCAAGACATATTGAGTTCAATCCTCCACTAGGCGTAGGTAAATAGTTCAAAAGTTCCGGATTTCAACTGACCCTTTTGTAGACGTAAGAGTCTATGTATAGCACTGAAGTCACTGGAGAGTTCGAGGACTCTGTATAGCACTGAGTTTAAAGGATGAGTTCGAGGACTCTCCAATTTGAAGATCGAATTCGAAGGCACTGCAACGCACTGAATTTCTACGAGTTCTAGAACTCTAATAGTTCTTAACACTAAAATGTTTCTTAAACTAACTGGCTGAACCTTGACCCAAAGATTAGCGAATGGCAGGGCCTCTTGAATGAGTGTGCGTGTATGTATATATGTATATAATATATTGGGGAGGTATTTGTCGTCTTGCGTCACGCCAATGCTATGAAATGATCTTTTTTGGCGAGGTAAGAGAAACTCGAAGGAATATATATGTACATGTGTATGGATTTATAGATTTATTGATTGCGTGTACAACATGTGCATACAGCGGAGTAAGGAACAGTTTGTTACAATACTTTTTGTGGAATGAGCTTCGCAGCTACGAGAGTTCAAAGAGCGTTTCGTGTGCACACACTAAGTGGGTTTCCAGGCCCACCTAATAGACTGCAGACGCCCAGAGTTGACGTTCAGTCACATCTCGTTTAGACGACCAATCTCCCCTTCTTTTCGCGGAGGAACTGGCATGGCTCCGCAGAAAGAGTGTCAGAAAAAGTGGCATCGTCGGCTCCGGGTCGCGCTGGTGGTGGCTCGAGGTGTGCTGGTGTGGGATCAAAAAATGACTTTTTGGCATTAGTGGTCGCCGATTTGGCGTGTCGACGGACAGCTTCGGGCTTTTGGTCGTCTCTGGAGCGGCTTTGGGACGGCAAATCGGAAAGATCTTCGATTTTGTTGCTTTATTGGCCCCTGGCGGCGAATCCAGTGAAAATTTGGCCCTTTTGGAGGCTGATTCCGTCGAATTGAGTGGAGGCGGTTCGAATGAGACCATCTAGAGCATCGAGGGTCGCCGGGAACCATTGACGAGCGGTGACGCCTCGAAATATGGAAAGGTTGTTGATTTTCATGCTTTATCGGCTTTGGCAGCCGATCCAGCGTAGATATGTCCCTTTTCGACACAGTTTCGATCGTATTGGGTTGCGGCGGTCCTAACGAGCTTATCCAGAACGTCAGCGGTCGTTGGGAACGATCGAACAGCGGTAGCGGCTCTAAAAGTGGAAAGTTTGGTGATTTTTCGCTTTATCGGCTGTGATGGCGTATCAAGTGGAAACATCTCCCTTTTCGACACAGTTTCGGTCGAATTGGGTTACGGCAGTTCGAACGAGACCATCCGGGACGTCGTGGGTCGCTAGGACAGATTGATTAGTGGCAGCGGCTTGAAAAGTGGAAAGATGCGTAAAATTCGACTTGAATTCGATATTGAAGCGTAGGGAACACCTGGTTTAGGTCTAGCGAGACCTATCCATAGGACCTATCTCGTAATTGAAGGTTGCTGAGACGTATTTTTACATGGTTTCCAGCCAGATTGGAAAGATAGATGAATTTTTGAAGACGCTCGAAAGCTTACGACACTATGAAATTTTATTTCTTCTCCACTTAAACATCTTTTTATCAGGCAAATGCCGGTAAAACAAATATCGATACACCTGTATACCGGTATAAAAACTGGTGCATAAGTTTTTGTAAAAGTGCTCATATCACTGAATTTTTGTGCTTACTGGAATACTTTGAGTGTTTGTAAAAAAAAACTACAAACCGTTGATTGAAAGATTCTCTCAAAATGTCTCACGCTTCAGTCAACTGTGTTTACAAGCATAATACGTCTCTTTTCCCTTGCCAATAAACTTACCCTCTGTAGGTAATATGGCGCCACATCTACGCTTCACAAAACTAACTCATTTCTATTGGAAAAGTTATAGGTACGTCGAGTTGAATGAGAGTTCAGAGCGAACAGCCGAGCTGAGCAGACCTGCTTGTTTGTGAGGTGAACGGAGTGCAACG